AGTTAGTTAGTGCATGGAGCTACATGCAGGTGTGGCGTCGTAGTAGTTAGGCCGTTGTAGCGATCTGTGGAGCTGGCCGCGTTCTGGGCGCGTGGTGCGCGTCGTGCGCTAGCCGGGCAGATCGTGCGGAGGTAGCTGTTGTACGTGGGGAGGTAGGATGCGGTGTGTACGTGCACACGCGCAGGTATAAAACCCTTCAGACCTGATGTAGCTAAGACGTACGCAAGAGCCGGTGTTGCAGCGATGTAGCTAGTGAAAAGATAAAGAAGATTAGGGCGTGCGTGCGCCCACGGCGGCGTTCGTGCGTCGGCCTGGAATTTCTTGTGTCTTGTGTCTTTTTCTACCTCTAGCCCAGAGTGAGAGAGGGCTGCGGTTCCAACATGTCGGACTCACAGAGATACCCGAGAAGCACATAGTGAAGAGGTGGACAAGAGATGCGCGAGATGTCCTGCCTATGGCAGCATACCACGGAGCCGCTAGTGGTCGACCAACCTCTGAAAGGCTAATGGTGAATGAAAGACAAGGTGATTGCTCTGGAGAAGACAACGATACAGTGTTGGCAACACAAAACCAACTCATCGAAGTACCTGGTCAGACCGTAAGGCCAGCAAGTTGTGAGGAAGCACCGGATGAGGAGGTGAGCAAATGCGGCAGGTTTTGCAGCATTTGCCGGGGTCAAGGGCATAAGAAGACGCCCTGTCCGGAGAGGGGTGACCTGCCAAACCAGCAGAGGAAGCAGGGGAGGTGTAGTAACTGTGGTGTTGCTGGGCACCGTAGGAGCACTTGCTCTCAGCCCCCTGGCTTTAAAATCAATGGTGGTAAGTAGCATGGGTATATGTTGGTTGTGTGGCTTCAGTGTTAGAGTTGATCTTCAGAATCTCTTTTGTGAAATGGCTGCTGGAGTTAGCAGGTGATGGTTGGATCAGGGTAGGCGCCGTATTTTGTTCGGCTGTGGTGTGCTGGCTCATGGGCTTTTGCCGTCCCTTTTATGTAGTAAGTATACCTAAATATCTAATCATTGTATAATTAGTTGTCTAACTAAAATGGCGAACCCCACGTTAGCTCGACCAGATTTACTATGTGTTGTTATAACATACTCCCTCCGTCCCATAATGTAAGACGGAGGGAGTATCTTGCATCTTCTTATGCATGTCATCTTTGATTTTGAGCGGTTCCAGTACCCGAGTTTGGGCATTGTCTTATATACAAGTATATTTGATCAAAATTTTAAATGCCACTCCAATTAGACAGACATTCCAAACAGTGCCTGAGGATTATTTATGCATGCCAAAGTGTGATATTTGGCTGATCTGAATATGAAGATGAGAAAATGATTGCCTAATGGTGATTCCATAGGTAAAGGGGAAAATGGCACCACCGAGTGTCAAAAACGTTCTTATATTATGGGACGGAGGGAGTATTCCACACGGCAAGAGACTGCATTACTAGTACATGACATATTGACATGCATTCAGAAGTCTTCAGTTTTATAGCTGCGTATGTCGAATTCGCAAACAGCAGAGTTGATGTACATGACATTGTTGTAGGCATTAACAAAGATAGTTCAAGCAATGTTTGCCATGCGTACATGCTTGCCAAGAGAAAACGAAACTTTCCAACAAAGAGGAAGCGAACATTCAGAGTAGTCTGACTAATAACGGTGAAAAATATAACAGATCTCAAAGAGTTTTTAACAATCTCAGATGACAATAAGGCGTAAAAGTGAACACCAGAACTTGACCTCATTGCAAAATATTACAAAGCATGGATAATATTTCCTGTAATATACAACTTTTAGAGTGCTGTTTCATATACTCCCTCCGTCCGGAAATACTCGTCGGAGGGATGGATGTATCTAGATGTATTTTAGTTCGAGATACATTCATTTTTATGCATTTCTTCGACAAGTATTTCCGGCGGAGGGAGTATGTGACTAATTGCAGCAATTAGATGGCACGTTAGCTAAATGCAAACATTTGAAAAGGGAAGACCATAGTAGTATCAGCAGAGTTACAATTAGTCTCGTTTTCAGGCAAAATGTTAAAGAACACGTGACTAAAAGGACTTGATCACTTGAGTGCTATCAATTATCATTGTAAGATAAGAAAGAAAAAAAACAATGATATCACTCGTAACCTTGCTCTTCATTGGCCTCCCAACGCCAGGTGATGCTACCGTCAAACACACCAAGCATCTGTGGCTGATGTGGATCCCATCCTCTTTGACGTAATTGTAATGGTTAGCACTGCAATGATGGAAAGAGGGCAAGAGGATACACTGAGGAGTTCGTTGTGGTTCCCAGCACGACACATTAGCTGTCATTTCTACCTGAAACTACAATACTCCTTCGATGCATCTGCCACCATGGGCTAGCGATTTTGAAAATATTAGTATTAAAATTTATGAATACTCAATTATAAACAACAAAGACTTGCTTGATTACTCCCTCCGTTCCTAAATATTTGTCTTTCTAGAGATTTCAACAAGTGACTACATACGGAGCAAAATGAGTGAATCTACACTCTAAAATATGTCTATATACATCCGTATGTGGTAACCATTTGAAATCCCTAAAAAGACAAATATTTAGGAACGGAGGGAGTAGAATTCATATACAATATGCCATACATAACATTAGTCTAAGGATATTAAGTTGATTTTTGTTCTATCGATTAGAACGTAGTTCCCTATTTTTACATTTATACAAAATAACTTGCGGAAGGTAGTTAGAAATATCTCTCCAGATAAATTTAGGCATAACAACTAAATAAAAAATCAAATGAGTCATACCAGGACGAAAGGTGGCATCCGCTGACCTTCTGAAATATCAAGGACTATGTGACCTTGTTGATGCTACTGTAGAGGGCCGGGGGCCAAATTCCAGGTGACTGATTTCACTGGACATTTCCATGAACAGTGGAAGGAATACACACCTGCAGAGTACAGTAAGATAGCCGACTCGTCCACAGTACATGCGCACAGCAAGTGCACTCCACACGTCTGCCAGCAAATTCAGAGGGAATCAGTCGACTGAGTCGAGCAATATGCAAGGAAATTATGTTTGATGCCTACATCTTGTTGTTGTTTCCGGGCTGGTGGCAACATGACATGGTATTGTTGTTGTTTTTGTGATGCCTACATCTTGTTGTTGTTTCAGCGTGGAGAGTAGGGACAACACCAAGCAGGCTACCATGATCACTGCCGGGCCAAGCCATGCTACTGTCATGATGCTTTCTTCCTTATATGCAAGAAAAGAGCAACAATAACTGTAGCTATCAATGTAAGCATTTTTTAGTCTGTTTGTGATGCTGCAATAGTAGAAGCATATCAAGAAGGGATACATATAGATGGACACCTAGATTCAAAACACCATATAACAGGGTCTGTTGAACCCTGCATCATGCATAACAAAACATAATTTTTAGGAGTGCAATATCCCATTGAAACTTGTATCTAACGCAAGGATATGTAATCTGAACCAGAATAACACAACAGAAAGCAAAATAAACATTGCACACCTGCTAGTTTATCTTGCTTCACCTTGTGATTCGATCCGGTGACCTACTTTTTGAATTAGTAAGCATGTAGATCATTTTGACTTGACCTATACCTTGTGAAATTACCTTAGACAGCGGAAGCTCCTAAATTTATCTCCTGAATCATGACACATATCCTAAATGCCATACTGGTGAAATAAATATGAAATCAAATCATAGTTGAGTTTAATTGTGCCAAGGAAGTTAAAGTTATCCATGAGACATTATATAGAACCAAAAGAACAAAATAAATGGTGAGTGGACCAATAAGTAAAAATTATATCCAAAACCACAAAATACAATGATGCTTATGTTACATGGAAGACATCATCCTAACTTCTAAAAAGAGCTTATAGTGAATGCACTACTGTTTTGTATAGAAGTTCCAACTATTTGAAGATATACAGAAACTTCTCAGAAGAAAACCCCAGGATCCTGGAAAATAAAGTTTTTTTTTCTGCAGTGCAATGGATAACAGCTTTGCAGAACAGAAGACCAAGCACAAATATTTATGCTTGGTCGCCGAGATGAACACAGTATAGCACCGTATAAATATATACTTGGACAGACCAAACCTACGGATATCCAAGCATAAATATATACTTGGACAGATCTGGTTAGCGGAACCTGCAAGGAGGAAGCGGTCGCACTGTCCTGCAGCGGCGGCCGCAAGAGTTGACAATGATGGTAACAGAGATCCTCGGGAGAGAGAAGATGCAGAGGAGGATACACTGCTGGTGGTGGCAGTTGATCAATGATAATGTATCATAAGAGAATAGGCAGGAAATGTAATATTACCAACCAAGCAGTCATATATCAGAAATGACCCAGGAGGCCAGGACTATAAAAGAGTCTAAAGCTGATCAGATAAATTTATGGATTATTGCAATTCAATGCCTGTAAGCAACAACAAACATGTTTTCCAGTTAAATTTTACCAGTTCAAGAATAGATGGGAGGAGTTTTGCTTAACTAAACAATTATGTATACTTCTTTACATTAGTAAACTATTTCAGTTCATTCCTAAATCTTCTTCAGTACATGAATTCTAACAGCATAATCGATCACTAGGTGCTTAGCTTGAGGAAACACGGTGTGCAGACAAAAATATTATATTGTACAACAACAAACCTTTTGTCCCAAGCAATGGGTAGACAAAAACATTATATTGCATTTTACCAAAAATCCCCACAAGAACAATGACCATGTTTAAAGTGGTGGAACCGATTTGAATCCCGGACAATGATCTCTCTCTCAGTTATTTTCGATATATATTTGGTGGCATTGTGGCAATCCCCACACACACGCAAATTCTTGTATATATGGAGCGGAGTTCTTGGAGGAGTATTTATGATGCCAAAGGCAATAGCTAATCTCTCACTGTGATTATTCAAGATGTGTTGCTTTTCATCCTCCTCTACATCCTGTAGGACAAAACTGTAGTCAGGAACATAACCTATACTTCTCATTTTGGCCAACAGATTCTGCAGCTCTGCCTGGATCTCTTCGTGTTGAGGGTGGGGTTCTGTCTGGTTGCCACTGTAAACACATTCACTGATCTTTTCACCTCTATTGAACTCCATCCAGGGGTTTTCTGCAAATTTTGGTGTCTGACCAAAGACCGCACTTCGTCAACTCCATCCCATTTCCCAACCTTCGCATACATGTTCGACATTAGAACATAATATCCAACATTCTCTGGATCAAGTTCAAACAGGTTTTGCGAAACCACTTTGCCCATTTCAACATTCCCATGAATCCTGCAAGCACCAAGCAGAGCGCCCCAAACAGCAGAATCAGGTTTAATTGGCATGTTATGTATAAAATCAAAAGCTTCCTGTAGCTGACCAACTCTGCCAAGCATGTCAACCATGCACGCATAATGTTTTGCAATGGGGATAATGCCGTATGTTATACGCATCATATCAAAGAAACTCCGGCCTTGGTCAACTAAGCCAGCATGACTACAGGCAGCCAACAGTGAAACAAATGTGACATGATCAGGATTAACTCCTTCCTGCTGCATTCGTGAGAAGACACTGAGAGCCTCTGCGGCATGCCCATGAACTCCAAGGCCAGCCATGATGGCATTCCAGGGACCTGTACTCCTACTCCTTTTAGGCATTTTTTCAAAGAAAAGCATTGCGTCCGCCAGCTTCCCACATTTAGCATACAAGTTCCAACATACACATCCAGATTGAATCCAGTCTTAACAGACAGAGCATGCATCCGCATGCCCTGCTGCAAGGCACCAAGTTGTGAGTATGCAGGCAAAACACTGACAATTGTCCCTTGAATAGGCTTCAGACCCTCATGCTTCTGCATACAACCATACGCCTCGATTGCCTCGTTTGCAAGTCCATTCTGCATATACCCCGTGATCAAAGTGTTCCAAGACACGGCATCTCGAACTGGCATGATCTCAAACATCCTCTGGGCAGCCTCAATCTTTGATAGCTTCGCGTACATATCAACCATAGCATTCCCTGCAATTATGTCACCCACATCCCACCCCCGCCGCGTCACATAGCAGTGCACTGACTTCCCACCGCGGTCATCTCCACACTGTGCGATAGCAGATGCCAGACTCACAAGCGTCAGCACGTCAGGGGAAACCCCACTGTCCCTCATACCATGAAACATCTTGACCGCAGCGGCGGCCTGCCCACCCTGCTCATACCCTGAGATGATCGAGTTCCACGTCACCAGATCGCGGCGCTCCATTCCATCAAACACCCGACGAGCCTCCTCCAGCATCCCGAGCTTTCCATACACATCGATCATCGCATTGCACACGAAGAGCTCCCTGTCCAGCCCGTGCTTCACCGCGTACACGTGCATGACCAGCGCAAGCACCCAGTCCCCGAGCAGCGCGCACATGGGCAGCACGCTCGAGACCGTCACCGAGTCGCCGGCGACGCCCTCCCCCGCCATCCGCCCGAGCAGGCGCACGGCCTCGGCGCCGCAGGCGTTGCGGCACAGCCCGGACAGCATCGCGTTCCAGGCGGGCAGGTCCCGCCCGGGCATTTCGTCGAACACCCCGTAGGCCTCCTCCACGCAGCCGAAGCGGAGGTAGGCGTGCACGAGGGAGCCCGACGCGAAGACGCACGGGCGGAGGAGGCCGAGCCGGAGCGCACAGGCGTGGAGCTGCGCCGCGGAGGCGTGGGCCGGGGCCGCGCGGATGAGCGGCGGGAAGGTGAAGGCGTCGGGGCGGAGGGGGCGGGCGCGGCGCAGGAGGTGGCGGAGGAGCGGGAAGGCGAGGCGAGGGAGCGCGGCGCGGGAGAAGGCGGCGATGAGGGTGTTGGCGAGGAGGAGCGGGGGCACCTGGAGCTGCGGGTCGAGGTTGCGGAGTTGGCCGGAGGTCACCAGCACCGCCTGGACGCCACGGGGCAGCGCCGCCGCTGGCATTGGTGTTCCGCGGGTGACCGCGCGCGCGGGGGGAGTCTTTCTTTTCCCTTTTTTTGTGTGTGTGCGTGTATACTGCCACACGAGTGCCTCGCCGGAGCGCCGAAGCACGGCCACGCAGCACGCCGGAGCGCCGTGCTGGGGCGCACACGGTGGTGATCCTGCCGCCAGGTGACAATGGCGAAGCTAGTCAGACAATATACAGCTGGGCGACTCAAACCCGTCTTAAACACCCGAACAGGCTCCGGTGACAGAAAATCGAGCCAGTCGAACGTCTCGAACCGGCATCAAACGCCAGGCTGTCCAGCCGCGTTTATATCCAACCCAAATATAAGGCAGACAGGACGCCTGGGCGCGTCCGTCTGACACACTTGGCCTGCCATCGACCTCACATACATCCCCTTCGATGAACGCAAGACCGCAGTCTGCTTGGTCCACTCCACTCTCTTCGTCCCCTCCTCTTCCCAATATGATCCATGGCGGATGACCACAACGGCTCCGGCTCTAATAATGACGAGAGTGGCGTCGATACGGTCGCTCTTTGCGTTGCTTTGCGCTCCTCCCATCTAGATCAAGGTGGCAGCAGCGGAAGCAGCTCATGGAGCGACGCACCATCCCCCTTCGTCCACCTTCGCAGTGTGGGCGACATTGTTCGGCCCTTCCATCCGGCGCGCGACATTGATGGGACCGTCGCTCGCTTCGCCCGACTCCAAGTACGCCGCCACCATACCCACTGTACCTCCAGAGGCCGTGCATGGGTACCGTTGGCTGCTTGTGCCCCTCGTCAGTGCGGGGTCGTGTCGTGTCGTGTTGGGCCACTGTCAACCGAAGAGAGGAGGTTGGAGACATAGGGGGCCGGGGGAGGAAGCCGTCGCGCTCGTCATGGACTGTGTCGACTCTGTAGTGCAGCGCCCTCCATTTATATACCGGCATTTTCCATAAGCATACAACAGCTATCCCTACAAAAATTCATCGCCGCGAAGGCCAGTAGCACTTGGAGCTCACCATGGTGGAGATCCGAGACAACGTCGTCCTAAGTGTTCCTTCATGTGATGGAGTACATCTAGGAAGGTCTCGGTGGAGGTCGTCTTCGACGCCATTGCCATCCCGACAGTTGCCACCCCCTCCAGCCTAGCCACCTAGGTCGATTGCGTAGCCGGATTGGATCTGACACCGCGCCACTGCGGATGGCCAATATGCCACCGCGCCATCGCGGATGTGACGATTTGTCACTATGTCGCTACCGATGGGTTGATATGCCATCGCATCGCCCCCTTTGACGGAGACTAGGTCGACAACAATCACATGCGAAGAAGCGTACAAGAGTTAGTGTGTTCGATGAGGTGAACATTGCGGCGATGGTGCTAGGGTTTGGCAACCCGTACACAAAGAGAAGGAAAGGGTGCGACCCGAGGTACTCACAACCCGCAAAAATCTTTTTTTTTGAGGGAAACCCGCAAAAATCTTTCCTATAGGCGGTTTCAGATTTCCAACTGCTTCCAAAGCTTTATATATATGGTTATTACACGCGGCTTGTTGTGTTTCGTCACAACTGCTTCCAAGGCCCGTTGTTAATGCTTGTTTTTGTAGTAGTGCGCTTTTCTTAATTCAAAGGAACTTTTTGTTCACAATCTAAACTGAAGTAATCTTCTTATGAAGGTGACACTGGGAGGAGCTTTCTAGGTCGCCCTTTGGATGGTTCATGGTTTGTGAATATATGAAAGAGGCTTTCAGTAGACCCCCCCCCCCCTTCACAAACCGTATAAGGACAGTAAGGTCATTTCATCCAACCGTACACCCATCAGTATATGTGACATATATGAGGTATCGTACATAATTTTAATCAAATAATAAAAAATAGCACGCCAGCGTGGGTTGAACTCAAGACCTCTATGACTAACAAGAAGCACACTAACCAACTAGAACATACTAATGCTACTGTCCATTTACTACTTCTTTTGCATTTTTTTCTACTCAGTTAGCGGCTGGGCCTGCCCATTATTGAACCGGTATATCAGCATTCATTTTTTATTTTTTCTATTTGTTTATTTTTTACCTTTTCATTTCTTTTCCCAAAAATGCTCACATTTAGAATTTAAAAAAAATCATGAAAATGTTCACTTTTTAAACTTTTGTTCACAATGTACAAATATTCGCATTTTTTAAAATTGTATAGACATGTCAAAAAAGTGTTTGTTCAAATAGAAAAATGCTCACATCAATATAATTAAATTTCTAAAATATCTCAATAGAAAAAACATTTATTTCAAAAATGTTCGTCTATTGTTCGTTTAAATAGAAATATACTCACATAAAAAATTGAAAACTTTTAAAATTTATGAACATCTAGTAAATATAAAAATATAAATGAAAATATATAAATCAGCGACTTTTTTATTGTTCTTTTTTGTTTCATTTTTGTTCTTCTTGTTTTTCATTTTTCATTTTTTGTTCTTTTTCTTTTTCAGAAAATGCTCGAGGTCTACCGCAGGGTGAGTCCAAAGGACTTTTTTTCAGCTCCACCAAATAACCCCAAACTTTTTGCACACATTGGCATCACCATGGACAACCATGCTAATTTTCATCGATTTCTTACACTTGATGCATTTCCTATGATCTTCCCGGTGAAAAAACCCTAAAACACTGGTCGGACATGATGCAACGTTCGTTTGGTGTCTGAATTCGTTCAAATCTTGTATGGGGGCCTACATTGGACATTCCCACGTGGTGGAAAAGTTTGGTGTCATTTCATGCATGCCACATCATAGTGCATGTGCAACCAGCACCGTTCGGGTCTGCCGTAGGAGGAGTCTGAAGGACGTTTTTTTTCTACTCCACCAAATGACCCAAACTTTCTTAAGACATTGGCATCACCATGGATATCATGCACTCCAATTTTCATCGATTTCCGACACTCGATGCATTTCCTATGATTTTCCTGGTGAAAACCCTAAAACACTGGTTGGACGTGACGCAATGTTGGTTTGGTATCCGAATTCATTCAAATCTTGTGTGGTGGGCTACATTGGGCATTACCACATGAAGGCAAAGTTTGGTGTCATTTCATTCATGCCACCACATAGCACATGTGTGCAACCAGCACCGTTCGGGTTTGCCACATGGGAGTCCGAAGGACGTTTATTATCAACTCCACCAAATGATCCCAAACTTTTTCACACATTTGCATCACCATGTACAACATGCATGCCAATTTTCATCAATTTGCGACACCCGATGCATTTCCTATGATTTTCTCGGTGAAAAAAACCCAAAACACTAGCCGGACGTGACGCAACGTTTGTTTTTTGTTCGAATTTGTTCAAATCTTGCGTGGGGGCCTACACTGTGCATTCTCACATGGTGGCAAAGTTTGGTGTCATTTCATGCATGCTACCACATAGCACATGTGCAATCAGCACCATTTAGGTCTGCCACAAGGGGAGTCCAAAGGACGTTTGATTTTCAACTCCACCAATTGACCTCAATTTTTTCACACATTGGCATCGCCATGGACAACATGCATGCCATTTTTCTTAGGTTTCCAACACTCGATGCATTTCCTATGATTTTTCCGGTGAAAAGTCCCAAAAACACTGGCCGGACGTGACACAATGTTCGTTTTGTGTCCGAATTTGTTTAAATCTTGTGGGGGGGGGGACTACATTGGGCATTCCCACTTCATGAAAAAGTTTAATGTCATTTTATGCATGTCACCACATAGCACATGTTCAACCATCA